TTTCTCTTATTAGGATGAAGAAGCCACTCGTGGCAAAACGTTTCCTTTAATAAATGTCCTGAACTGTACGTAAGTGTCTTTTTCCACAATATCTGGCCTCTCTGCTTCAAGTAGCTCGGCCAGTAGGTGTCTAATTGTTAAGTAAGAACGTACGTTGAACTGAATCACCTTAAACGTGATTTAATGGTTTCGTCATAGCAAAGTTAATGTCGGGAGAATGAATTATGAAGAGTGGAAATTTCTGCTGGAAGGAACTGAGGATCACAGATGCGGAGGGCACGGAGAAAGAGGGAGATAAGAACACTTTTCTTGACAGGGGAAGCATGATAGGAAAAGTAGTGAATGTACATGCCACTGTGCATAGGTTTACGGTAAACGGAAAAGGAAAAACCTGTATCTGAGCGGTGGACATGGACATCAAGGAAAGGAAGCAAGGAATTAGATTCCCATTCAGCTTTGAACTTAATGGAAGGGGCAAGATTATTAAGAGCTTCAAGAAAAGGTTGGAAGAGACTGGAGTCATGATGTCCATGTCCACCGCTCAGATACAGGTTTTTCCTTTTCCGTTTACCGTAAACCTATGCACAGTGGCATGTACATTCACTACTTTTCCTATCATGCTTCCCCTGTCAAGAAAAGTGTTCTTATCTCCCTCTTTCTCCGTGCCCTCCGCATCTGTGATCCTCAGTTCCTTCCAGCAGAAATTTCCACTCTTCATAATTCATTCTCCCGTCTTGGCTACCCTTCCCATTTCATAGACTCTGCCCTCTCACGTGCTAAACGCAATTTCTTCTCTCCCAAACTCTCTATTCATGAGAACTCTTCTATCCTCTGCCTTCCCTACATTTCCGGTCTTTCTAATCTCAACAATTCTCTCCGTCCCTTAGACATCAAGCTTACCTTCCGCCAGACTAGACTAACACTCTTCACACTAATCTCGTTCATACCTCTCCTCCCTCTACAGATGTTCCTGGTGTCTACTCTATTTCTTGCTCCTCCTGTCCTCTTCAATACTTCGGAGAAACTGGTCGATCTCTTTCTGACAGACTTAGGGAGCACAAAAATAGTGTTAGGCTTGCCGACACTAACAATGCTCTTTTCTGTCACGTCAGAGACTGGTCTTCTGCTTGAACTGTCTTCCCTACTTCCAACTCGAACAGTCGCCGTCTAGTTGAATCCTCTCTAATACACAACTTTCCTTGTATGAACCTTAGCCCTGGCTTCGTCTCTGTAGATGCCTTCCTCTCCCACTACATTGTAAAATGCTCCAAACTTCAGAACACCCGTGACTTAACCTGAATCCTCATTTTTTTCTTTTTCTTTTTCTGTTTCTTCTTCCTCTTCCCCTTCCCTCTTTCCTTTGCTCCTCTGGGTTGTCTTTCTCTCTCATGTCTCGTGTTTCTGTTCCTTCTTCATTTATTTCACCACTTCCCTTTCACGCACCTCTGTGCGCTTGCTCTCCCTCTGTGGGCATCTAGCTCTCTTGCAGTGCTCCCCTTCCTTTGTATTTGACTGGCTCGTCCTTTTCCCACTTCTACCACTACTACTACCTCTTCTTCTTCTACTACTACTACAACTACTGATGAAATTAAGACATATGTGCGGCGTCTGGTTGTCTTTGTTGTGGACGTTTCGCCATCCAGTGGCTGGCTGGATGGCGAAACGTCTATGATGGGGATGCCCGGGTGTTGTGCATGTGTCTTAATTTCATCTTGTCGGTATCATATACAACTCTTGTACTACTACTACTACTACTACTACCACCACCTCTTCCTGCCTATATATAGCCGTCCTGCTCCACCTCTGTTAGTGTGACTTTGTCAATGGTCCAAGTCGGACCGAAACGTCGTCGTAAGCTTCTCTCTTTTATGTGCGGGTTATTTGTGTATCGTTCCACTCACGGTATTTTGCCTTTTTTGTTATTTAGTTATCATAATTAAGTTAAACCCACAAAGGTCATACAGCACTGGAACCTCCCTTGAGGGGTATGAATTGTATACAGACTCTGGAGTACAGAGTAGCTTGTTATGTTAAAGTAACAGTGCCTCTGGTGCTATACCATGCTCTGTATTGAGCAGCTATTAATTTTAGCTTTTATTCACCAATAATATTTAAAATTCATATTGCTCCCATGTGGTGATGGTGCCAAGAATACTCACCATGTATTTAAGAGCAACATACATATTTCCACCACAAACACATCTAACAAAGACCTTATTATGAAACGTAGCCCCACACCTCTAATTTCCACAGCAGGCATCTGCACAATTCCCTGTGGATACTGTGCCAAGAAATGGGAAGTACAATGCCTGCACTTTAAAGGAGGGGTTTGGGATATTGGCAGTTTGGAGGGATATGTTGTGTATCTTTATACGTATGTGCTTCTAAACTGTTGTATTCTGAGCACCTCTGCAAAAACAGTGATTATGTGTGAGTGTGGTGAAAGTGTTGAATGATGATGAAAGCATTTTCTTTTTGGGGATTTTCTTTCTTTTTTGGGTCACCCTGCCTCGGTGGGAGACGGCCGACTTGTTGAAAAAAAAAAAAAAAAAATCTTTCGGTCCACTTGAACAAACATTGAAATGCCAGCAATAGAGATTACCTAAGGTATGCTTTTGTCTTCCACAGGGACTCCACAGGACATTTGATGAATTGGGATAAGGCACAGCTTGTCCTCACTGAACAATATCTTAGATGCTGATGATGTCTGGAAGCCTCGCTAATTGCCATCACTGACACCACAGAACATAATACTTGAACTACAAAATTTCAGACATTAGCATACATGATACTCAACCAGGCAAACCACCTACCTAACAGTGCAGGAGTAATGTGATCCCATTGTCTCCCTGTCTCCATCCTAATATGACATTCTTCAGGTCACCATATATTATTCATACTCCATCCTCCATCTATATATGCCATCTTTTTAAATTCTATGTTAGTTGAAAGTGAACACAGAAAAGACTAAGGTGATGAGGGTATCAAATGATTTAGATAAAGAAAAATTGGATATCAAATTGGCGAGAAGGAGCATGGAAGAAGTGAATGTTTTCAGATATTTGGGAGTTGACATGTCAGTGGATGGATTTATGAAGGATGAGGTTAACCATAAAATTGATGAGGGGGAAAAAAGGTGAGTGGTGTGTCGAGGTATATGTGGAGACAAAAAACATTATCTATGGAGGCAAAGAAGGGAATGTATGAAAGTATAGTGGTACCAACACTCTTATATGGGTGTGAAGCTTGGGTTGTAAATGCTGCAGCGAGGAGGAAGTTGGAGGCGGTGGAGATGTCCTGTCTAAGGGCAATGTGTGGTGTAAATATTATGCAGAGAATTCGGAGTGTGGAAATTAGGAGGTGTGGAATTAATAAAAGTATTAGTCAGAGGGCTGAAGAGGGGTTGTTGAAGTGGTTTGGTCATTTAGAGAGAATGGATCAAAGTAAAATGACATGGAGAGCGTATAAATCTGTAGGGGAAGGCGGGGTAGGGGTCGTCCTCGATAAGGTTGGAGGTTTTGTGGGCAAGGGGCTTGGACTTCCAGCAAGCATGCGTGAATGTGTTAGATAGGATTATTATTATTATAATCAAAAAGAAGCGCTAAGCCACAAGGGCTATACAGCGGTGTTAGATAGGAGTGAATGGAGACGAATGGTATTTGGGATCTGACGAGCTGTTGGAGTGTGAGCAGGGCAATATTTAGTGAAGGGATTCAGGGAAACCAGTTATTTTTATATAACCGAACTTGAGTACTGGAAATGGGAAGTACAATGCCTGCACTTTAAAGGAGGGGTTTGGGATATTGGCAGTTTGGAGGGATATGTTATATATCCTTATATATGCCTCAAAACTGTTGTATTCTGGGCACCTCTGCAAAAACAGTGATTATGTATGAGTGAGGTGAAAGTGTTGAATGATGAAAATATTTTCTTTTTGGGGATTTTCTTTCTTTTTGGGTCACCCTGTCTCGGTGGGAGACGGCCGACTTGTTGAAAAGAAAAAAAATGTTAGAAGTTTCTTCTTTTTCTTTTTAGTAAGTTATACAGGAAAAGGGGATACTAGCCCATTGCTCCCGGCATTTTAGTTGACTTTTACAACACACATGGCTTACAGAGGAAAGATTCTTATTCCACTTCCCCATGGATATGAAAGGAAAAACAAAAAGAACAAGAGCTATTAATTTGAAATCAAAGAAAACTCAAATGAGTGTGTATACATAAATGTGTACAGTACATGTATGTGTAGTGTGACCTAAGTGTAAGAAGAAGTAGCAAGATGAACCTGAAATCTTGCATATTTATGAGACAGAAAAAAGACACCAATCCTACCATCATATAAAACAAAACACGTACAGGCTTCCGTTTTACACTCACTTGGTTGGACAGTAGTACCTCCCTGTGTGGTTGCTGTCTACTAACCTACTACCTAGGTTGGATGCGAGGTTTTGTGGGCAAGGGGCTTGGACTTCCAGCAAGCATGCGTGAGCGTGTTAGATATGAGTGAATGGAGACGAATGGTTTTTGGGGGCTGACGAGTTGTTGGAGTGTGAGCAGGGTAATATTTTGTGAAGGGATTCAGGGAAACCGGTTAGCCGGACTTGAGTCTTGGAAATGGGAAGTACAATGGGTGCACTTTAAAGGAGGGGTTTGGGATATTGGCAGTTTGGAGGGATGTCTAAACTGTCACATCTGAGTGCCTCTGCAAAGACAATGATTATGCATGAGTGATGGTAAAAGTGTTGAATGATGAAAGTATTTTTTTTTTTGGGGGGGATTTTTCTTTCTTTTTGGGTTTTTTCTTCTTTCTGGGTCACCCTGCCTTGGTGGGAAACAGCTGCTATGTTAAAAAAAAAAAAAATGTTTATGGTGATTAGGGTCCCAGGACCACAACGTTTTCTAATAAATATATCCTAGTGTTTGCTCGTGTGTCTTTCTCAACCAATCTGTCGGTATCTAATACCAAGGTTTATACCAAAATAGGGGTACTAAAAAAATTTATTTATAAAAACACATTTAACACTAGGAAAACTTAAAGCAAAAAGGTACAATTATAAGGAAATAAACAATTACAGAGTAACTATGCAAATACTTAAATTACACAGAGCAGCTGCATACAAATATTTAAATATCAAGAACCGAATTATTTTCCCTACTAACACTTCTGTTACAACACTTAATTTTTTTTTTCCTACATTGCTTGTTTCCCACCAAAATACAAATACGTACAAAACTAATGTAACTCAACAGCAGTAGTAATCTAAGTCCTCCTCTGACAAATATTTGATATGTTACAAACTAATGAACCATATGCCATAACTGGGTCATGACACCCTATACATACTTCCATCTGGGATTTTGGAGGATTGAGTTTCCTGCATTACAAATACTATTATGAATTGCTGTTAGTATTTCACTACTGCTAAGACAGTCAAATGAGTGACTGTTCATGAGCCTTAAACAGAAATTATCTGTGTACTTTCTGGAATGCTCAGTAGGTCACAATTTTCTGTTCATGTTCCAAAACTTTTTCTTGTTTTCATTTTACATTGCCTTTATTGGTGTTGTGGTATGTTATAGTTAAATTTTACTGACATAATATTAGAAAACCAAATGTTGTCTCAATAACATACACAGAGAGCACCATGGTCTTTAAGACCACGGTGCTCTTCACCATCTTTGAGGCTGAGGGACTGAGTACCTCATCTTTTGTATATAGTGCTACAGTCTTCACATTATGTCCTTGTATTGTATTGATAAAGCCACTAGATGGCAAAATGTCTACAAATAAATATACCCTGATGTTGCACGTGTCTAATTCTTCATCTTGTCAGTATACAATATCATTCATGTACATTTCTAAAGAGTTCTTATTCCTGGAATATTTGCTCTCCAAATTAGGAGGCCTGGTCCGAGTTTAGCCCCGGACAATGATCTCCAGAATTATTCGTAAATGCCAAAAAGAAAATGTGATAAATGACTTACATTTTTATGCTAATTGTACTACTGAAAAGATGGAGAAGTGTTTGGTAGTATACAAACAGATGAGGATTACAAATATTGAGTAGTCTTAATAGAGTAGTATATAATTTGACGTCACTGCAACATGATAACATTTTAACACATTGGTCATTTCCCACCAAGGCAAGGTGACCCAAAAAAGATAACTCTGCAATGTTGTATAGTTATCTTTATATGCACCAAAAATGGAAATTTATTTAAATTTCTCTAAGCTGTTAACAAAATATGAACACAAAAGAGAATACAACAGTCCATCCACTTCAAGTATTTTGTGAATCATTGAAAAACACACATTATATAATTAAACTCTTTCTTCAAGTGAAATGGCAAAAAGACTTCACATGTTATGCTTCAGGAGTCAGAACACTTTCTATAGTTTTAAGAAATTGAACACTAGGTTCACTGAGCTCTACTTCATGATATTTTTCCTGACTGTTTTGTAGGCTAATATTCTCGTTTTGATTATGTCGTTGTCTAACACTCACAGAATTACTATTGTCAAGAAGTGCATTACTGTCATTTAAACTTGAATTTGCTGAGTTTTCCAAGAAGCTTCTTATCTGAAAGACAAAATCATCAGAGGTACTTGGGTCAGTATTATCATTATCTGGTTCATCAAATTCCAATGACAGGTTTTTCTCTATAACATTATCCATAAGCTTTCCCTGATTTGAAGATGGGGTATTATTAAGACCTTGTAGTGAGCTGGAAGAGGTGTTAATTTTACTCTGTATATGACCACTACTGGGGGACTGTTCTAGCTGCCTCCCACTTGCCTTGAGAACACTGACAGTCCTACTGTTTTCATTTGAAACTCTGCTGCCACTATTGCAACCAGATCTTCCATTCTTTGGAGGTAAAACTTTCTCTCTACGAGAGTTCGTTAGTCGGTAGTGAACAGCATCAGTTACGACTCCTAAGCCCTTCAATTCTAGCTTATCTTATTTTGTCTCTCTTCAAAACTTGTCTGTTCTTCCCTATTATCCTCATATGAAGTCTCTTTCCTTGCAGGAGTTGATGTCACCATAAGAACGTCTGATTCATGCTGGGTTGTTCTATGATTTCTATCAAGTTGTACTGCATTTGTATCAGTAATGCTTCCTTGAGGAAAGATGCTAGCCAACTTGCGAGCGACAAGCCGCTCTAATTCATTCTCTATGATGCTGGATGATGATGATAATAATGGTCGAATATCTACCTGAAAAAATAAAATAAAAAATACATGAAGCAAAATGTTCACAAAACCTTAAAAACAAAGCACAACATACTAGTTTGTCTCACACATGCACTTTGAGATTTATAAATAATATTCCTTAAAAAAAATATATATGTATACATGTATATATAGTAATTATTCCAGCAAGCGTGCGTGAGCGTGTTAGATAGGAGTGAATGGAGAAATGGTACTTGGGACCCGCGATCTGTTGGAGTGTGAGCAGGGTAATATTTAGGAAAAGGGATCAAAGGGAAAAACCGTTATTTCAATAGTCGGACTTTGATCCTGGAAATGGGAAGTACAATGCCTGCACTTTAAAGGAGGGGTTTGGGATATTGGCAGTTTGGAGGGATATGTTGTGTATCTTTATATGTGAATGCATCTAGACTGTTGTATTCTGAGCACCTCTGCAAAAACATGTAATGTCGAGTGTGGTGAAAGTGTTGAATGATTATGAAAGTATTTTCTTTTTGGGGATTTTCTTTTTTTTTGGGTCACCCTGCCTCGGTGGGAGACGGCCGACTTGTTGAAAAAAAAAAAAAAATGTATATATAGTTAGGGGGGCATCTTTGGGATTCCAGACTCCAAAATTGTCTGAATTTCTGAATATACATAAGCATATACGTATTTATAGCAGTATGCTAAGTTGTATACAAACAGTGTGGGATACGGTCGGTTTGTTAAAAAAAAAAGTCAGCAGTCTCCCACCGAGGCAGGGTGACCCATAAAGAAAGAAAATCCCCAAAAAGAAAATACTTTCATCATCATTCAACACTTTCACCTCACTCACACATAATCACTGTTTTTGCAGAGGTACTCAGAATACAACAGTTTAGAAGTATATACACATATAAAGATACACAACACATCCCTCCAAACTGCCAATATCCCAGACCCCTCCTTTAAAGTGAAGGCATTGTACTTCCCATTTCCAGGACTCAAGTCCGGCTATGTAAAATAACCGGTTTCCCTGAATCCCTTCACTAAATATTACCCTGCCCACACTCCAACAGCTCATCAGGTCCCAAATACCATTCATCTCCATTCACTCCTATCGAACACGCTCACGCACGCTTGCTGGAAGTCCAAGCCCCTCTCCCAGAAAACCTCCTTTACCCCTTCCCTCCAACCTTTTCGAGGACGACCCCTACCCTGCCTTCCTTTCCCTACAGATTTATATGCTCTCCATGTCATTCTACTTTGATCCAGTCTCTCTAAATGACCAAAGCACCTCAACAACCCCTCTTCGGCCCTCTGACTAATACTTTTATTAACCCCACACCTTCTCCTAATTTCCACACTCCGAATTTTCTGCATAATATTTACACCACACATTGCCCTTAGACAGGACATCTCCACAGCCTCTAACAGCCTTCTTGCTGCAGCATTTACAACCCAAGCTTCACACCCATATAAGAGTGTTGATACTACTATACTTTCATACATTCCCTTCTTTGCCTCCATCGATAACATTTTTTGTCTCCACATATACCTCAATGCACCACTCACCTTATTTTCCTTCATCAATTCTATGATTAACCTCATCCTTCATAAATCCATCCGCTGACACGTCAACTCCCAAATATTTGAAAATATTCACGTTGTCCATACTCCTCCCCAATTTGATATCCAATTTTTCTTTATCTAAATCATTTGATACCCTCATCACCTTACTCTTTTCTATGTTCACTTTCAACTTTCTACCTTTACACATGCTCCCAAATTCGTCCACTATCATTTGCAATTTTTCTTTAGAATCTCCCATAAGCACAGTATCATCAGCAAAAAGTAGCTGTGTATGACCATTATATATCTAGTGATTTAGATGGTTTAGCCATGTAGAAAGGCTGGAGCAGGACAGATAGACAAAATGAATGTGCTCATCATGGCCTGTGCCTTATCAATTTATTTGTATGAATTATTAAGGCTACTAAGTGTTTAAATATAAAATTCAAATGTCCAGTAAAATTATCCCAAATATTAGAGCATGACTAACATAATTTTGCCTTTATTTTGACCACAATCAAAGTTAAGAAGCCAAAAACATTAGAATCAGCACCCAAATTATGATAATGAATAAGTAATAAAGCAACAACAAAGGCATTAAGTGTAATGACAGTGCAGACATTTTCAGATTAGCTGAGCTAACAATGAAAAATACATATATGCATGATCATACAAGATTATTATAGAAATACCTAAATGCATGAGATATGATATAGGGCTCAATAATAGCAGTTTATTAGACTATGTATCAGTATGTTAGGCAAAAGGCCGCATGTGCAACTAATGTGACATTTTATTGTGGCAACGTTTTGCCACAATAAAATATCGCATTAGTTGCTTATGTATCCTTTTACCTAACATACCACTGGTAATTCTACCAGCACTGTAATATACAAAAAGGTTAATGGGCAGGATGATGAATGTATGTTTATAGAGTGACAGATATGTCAGATCATTATTTTGTGGTAGCTACAATAAGAGTAAGGGATAGATGGAGCACACAAAGACTGGCAGCAGTGGGTAACAAAGTGAAAATAAATGAATTAAGGAAGGTAGTGTCAGAAAGGAATAAGCAACTACTGGGGAAACATGTGCTAGACAAAGTGCAAAAAATGAGAAGGTCAGTGAGGCATAGGGTAAATTTAGCCCCTTGACTGTTGCAACCCCAAATCCTGAGGTGTCTCCTGGTATTGCAAAATCCCCCCCCCTAAAAAAAAAATCTTATGAAATGATAGAGAATCTTTTCCCGATTGTAATGACACCAAAACAATTAAATTTGATGGAAAACTGATGGAATTACACTATCGCGAAGTTAGCGACCTCGGCGATACATATTTACGAATCGGCGATTTCGCCCAATTCAAGCCCTATTTTTGCTAATTCCATTGTTCTAGTTGACTAGACTCATAGCTATTTCTTTAGAACTCCATTTTTTCTATCGATTGAGTACAAGAAACTGCCCATTTACCGATTTCAACTACCCAATAACGTGGTCAGAAATTTGCAATTTGGCCAATTTCATGAAAATTAAAAAATATGACAATTTCAAAATAGGATCCAGAATGAACAATGCAGACATTCCTGGCTCTAAAATAACATTTTCTCTGTTCATCAGTCATGTCTCCAGGCCCCTTTGATATTACTCTTGCTTTCTATTTTGAATTTTTATTGAAACAAAAAGTAGAAGATTTACTGTTATGCAGACTACTGCAATATTGTAATAATTGTATAAATAATGTCAACCCATTCATGACTGCATATTAGAATGGCTACTTGGACATTTATTGGGATATGACATCATTTGTTTGCTTTTGAACATCAGCAAAAATCAAACATTTCCCCTACTTTGAGCTCCATTTCAAGGTTATTTTCATTGTAAAACCAATCAAAATCACCTCTATTTCTATAATATGTTTTTGATTCTATCAAATGAGACCAAGAAAACGAGAATACAACCATAAATACTATATGAAAGTAGACCACAAAGTTGGCATTTTAATTAAAAAAAAAAAGTTTTTTTTTTCTCATTATGCACTGCGTCCTGCAGGATTTGGTTTATATGGTGCACACTGACCACACAGACCTATTCTCTTACATGTGGGCCTACCAGCTTTCTCCTGCTTGATTTGAAGCCGCTAGAATTTATGAGTATATATACGTCAAAAACTGTGGCTCGTAAGACGTATATATATATATGACCAAAACAGTCAATGGGTTAAAGAGTGCACTGCTGGACTGCACAGCATAGCTTTGTGAGTGCAAATTTAGGTTTTGCTGCTGAAGTGTCTAATTTACTGTGCATCCCATAGCCATCCTGTGGATAGTAGTATAAGAGCATATGGAAAAACTGAAGGCCTAGGAACTAGGCCCCAAAAGGGTTAACAAGAGTACATCTGATTTATATCTACAGTTAACTCATCTGCTGCAAGAAAATTTAGGAAATTTGTTTAATATGTCTGTTATCTTATTTTCATTAATAAAATATCTTAACATATCACATAGGTTATTATACTATCTCTGTATTCCTCAGTAAGTGGACAATTAACACACAGTGTTCAAAATAGTGACAATAGGGCTGGCCACATACTTTGCATCTGGTTGATCATCATGTGTCTGTCAAACTGCCAAAAGTACTTGTAACTAAGCCTAAGTCTGGCTACTACACCATCAGTCAGTCTGGTCACATTACAAGTTGTTTCATAAACATGCTTTTGTATGTTCATGTTACAGTGGGTTATAGATCTACTTAGGCTTCTAACTGCATTCCTATAACATTGATTCATTATTTACTTTTTTTTTTTATCACACTGGCCGATTCCCACCAAGGCAGGGTGGCCCGAAAAAGAAAAACTTTCACCATCATTCACTCCATCACTGTCTTGCCAGAAGGGTGCTTTACACTACAGTTTTTAAACTGCAACATTAACACCCCTCCTTCAGAGTGCAGGCACTGTACTTCCCATCTCCAGGACTCAAGTCCGGCTTGCCGGTTTCCCTGAACCCCTTCATAAATGTTACTTTGCTCACACTCCAACAGCACGTCAAGTATTAAAAGCCATTTGTCTCCATTCACTCCTATCAAACACGCTCACGCATGCCTGCTGGAAGTCCAAGCCCCTCGCACACAAAACCTCCTTTACCCCCTCCCTCCAACCTTTCCTAGGCTGACCCCTACCCCGCCTTCCTTCCACTACAGACTGATACACTCTTGAAGTCACTCTGTTTCGCTCCATTCTCTCTACATGTCCGAACCACCTCAACAACCCTTCCTCAGCCCTCTGGACAACAGTTTTGGTAATCCCACACCTCCTCCTAACTTCCAAACTATGAATTCTCTGCATTATATTCACACCACACATTGCCCTCAGACATGACATCTCCTGAGGGCAATGTGTGGTGTGAATATAATGCATATAATTATTCCTAATGCCAGAACACACCAGTTATATTCTACATTTTCCTTCAGGGTGGGTGTG